TTTCGTTTTGATATCCTGTCTTACACTACTCCTCATAAAATATTTTTCAAATTTTAAAAATGATTTTTGATCTCACACTTTTAATTTTATATTGCTCGATTGATGATGTCAAAATATATTATATTACAATATACTTTACACGGACATTAAATTACACAATAGTATTCGATTAAACCAATTATAGTTATTGCTAACAGTCTGCACGATTCAAATGTACATATGTGATATGCAATTTATATTATAGCCTGAGAAGGTTCTATTGATGACGATACAGTTGTTTCACTCAGTTTTGACGGTGAATTCACTATTTTATATGTTTAGCCTTTCAGTTGCTTACATTTGAAAGATACAGGGGAAAAACAGTAGCAAATTTTTTTTCTTTTGAATTTTAAATATTTTGTCATCACAGAAAGCGCATAATATTTCTTTTCGATATCTAACCATCTATAAAATATGAAAAAAAAATATTAATTATGTATAGTTTTTTTGATTTTCAACTAGCTAACGATCGACATGCGTTTTCCATAATACGTTTAACATCTCTCCTTTACGCCCACATCGTCCGCGATCCGACGCGGTCGGATCGCCTACCTGGGAGGTTCAAACGCGTTTAATTGGATTTTCAGTGGTGATCGCTTGAAAAATCGAGCGCTCGATTCGACTTAAACTTTTTTGCGTACTAAACAGCACAACGCTTTCGACGTCAGGAGGTATGACAATCCGCCGCAGCCGGATTGCCCTGTCAGGAATCGATATTCACTGGACGATGACTAATAACTAGACACTTAATTACCTTTTCGGAATGTATTTATTTATTTTCCTTGCACAAAAGCATATGGCAAGCTAAGGGACAAGGTGTATTACACCTGTAAATTTAATGAAATAACCCACCACTAAACGTTCGAATTGGACTTTTATATACTTTTATTATATTATAAGATTATTATTTAAGCGTTTAAAACGACACCTCCAAAGTGTAAAACCACCAAATCAGAGGTACCAACGTCTCAAACATCGTTATCACTGGTTTCGCCTACTAGACTTTTCTAACTGCGGTATTCTGATGTCCTTTTTCCGACCTAGGAAATTCACTTCAAACGATTTTCAGCTACCTAGAGTTTTCACATATAGCGAGTTTTACCGACCTAGGGTATTCACATACAGCGAGTTTCACCGACCTAGGGTATTCACTTACAGCGAGTTTCACCGGTGCTAGTCTTATAATATAAAACCAAAACGAGCTTCCTGGGTTTTTTCGCCAGAGTGCTCTGGTTTAGTGTACTGGCCAATCGGAAAATTAAAATTTTTTCTTATCGTCGTTATATCTGATATCTCCCGCCGCCGTCGTTATTATTTGTTTTTGTTATACCGTTTTTTCCGCTTTTCGACCGGTTTTCCAGCCTTCGGAGACCTCTTTCCGTCGCGTTCTCGACGCCGTAGCCCGGAGCGGGTCTTTTTCGTTCGGATTCGGTCCTTAGCCGCGGCCGCCCGCCGACGGACGTCGCCCGTTTTTCTCCGGTTTTTCTTTCCGCCCCGAATCGGTTTCGCCTTTTTCGCGTCCGCGCGTTTTCCGATAGCGCGAAACGCGTCTCTCGCCAGCCGTGCGTCACCGAATTCCGTTCGCGTCCGGAAAACGCGTTCTAAGGTCGGTTATCGTGTCGTCACGCGTGTACTACCTTTTTTTCTTTCTGAGATCCGATAAATCATTTATCTTTATATCGAATATGTGTCGTTTTGTTTTTGGTGTCTCCGCCTTCGGACGCCTCCGCGATCTCATCGGTATTGTCTCGACGGCGTACGAAATACGATTTGTTACGTGTATAAAAAAGATACGCGCGTCGGGTTTAACAGATTCTTATTTGTATTATACAAAAACATCGCAAAATTGTTGCTCTTCAGTCGTAATGTCTTTGATCGCATACGTTTGGGGTGATATCGAGATATGTGTATGTCATTAAGACGTACACGATTAAATAATGTAAATTAATACGTCAGAATTACATGGGCGGATAGGCCATTTTTGGCTTATCGGGAAATTTTAAAAAGGGGCCCCTTTCATAAAAAAAAAGTCGCTCGTTTCGCTCGCAGTACAATTATTAGATGAATTATATTAGATACCATATCAAAACAAAACATTTTATAATAAAATTAATTTTTTAAATTATTTATTTATTTTTAATTTTAAAATAATAACATTCTACCAAATATTGAACTCTTAGCTCTTAATTTATTAAGGTACTAGTCTGTTATCGCCCCGCCACGGGAACGAAAAATGTTATCGCCCCGCCAATTACGAACGCGGCTACACTATTTAAAACGTAAATAGAAATTGAAATATATATATGTAGGTACATATAGTGTATAAAAATATCAGAAAAAATCGTTTATTTCAAAAAAATCATCAATTTAATTCGTTAATTCATTAATTATTTCCAAAATTATATCATTAAAAAAAATATGTATAATATATTATAAAATAAATCTAAAATTGAATAAAATTTAAAAATATATAGATAAAATAAAATAAAATTACAATAATTACTGTATCATGATGGAGGCCAAAATGCTGAGATATCCAATAAAATCTGTTCAAATGGATCATTCTGATTGATAAGTTTTGATCGCCACATATACTCTGCCATGTATGAGTCAAGGAAATTTCGAGCTGTTCCGCGACGTCGTTTGTTGCCCCATTTTGCAGCACCCCACATTCTTTCCACATTTTGGGTGTGAACTCCAGTAGAGGGGTCGACAAAGTTGTACTTGTGATTGACTTGATTATGTTGATAACCTAATTGTTGAATTTTATTGCACGATCTCCAGCTGTCCGAAAATATTATGGACCCTGGGCGAATAAACTTTTGGATTAATGATAGTAAAGTTTTTTCAGACCGATCAGGTACACACACAATGAAACATTCTTTAGTTTCTCGGCAAATGCCTCCAAATATCCACTGTTGAGGAAGTATACGTCCTGCATTGTTTTTTCTACGTACAAAAAGGCTTTCGTCAATTTCCACAATTAAATTAGGACCACCAATTTCTTTATTACCAATTTCAATTTTCCAAACGCACACTTCACGTAAATAATTATTCCAGTCAACAACGGCGCTTTTACTCATTCCAAACTCACGTTTACAATACGATACAGAGGTGATTTCATAAGCCCAGCAGTATATGTAGTATACTATTGTATGCATTGGTAATCTTGAACCACTTGGCCAATTGTTGGTTCTTATACCTTTTTCTTTTCGGCAAGTTCTTCTCTGACAAAGCCACCGAGATCCTTTTATAATCATTTTATGGTCATTTTCGCACTTTTGAGTTTGTAATAAAACATTTTCGTTTGGAGAAAATTAATAGCAGAGTCTTCACTAGAGACTTCGGAATACAAATCTTTTAAATTCATTTTCAACTACTGCAATATATACTTCGACACTGATACGGGCAGAGCTTTAGACATACTGGACATACTGCTATGTAAAATTACCTGAACTAATAAAATAAAGCGATGAAGCTTCAATTGTCGTAGATATAAATAAAATAATGTGTTTGATATGGTTCGTAATCGCCACGTTCGTAATTGGCGGGGTGATAAAACTTTTCGTTCCCGTTGCGGGGCGATAATAGACCAGTACCTTTATTAATAATGTCTTCAGAATCAATTTTATTCAGAAGACCTTTCTCTACTGTGCGAAAAGGTTGCACACAAGCCGAACAAACGAAAATTCTTGTTTGATGTGGAGAGGAGAGTAGACTGTATCACAAAACAATAAAAAGAAAGAGTACCAAGATTGATTAGTTAAGTGATGAGTGCTAGGTTGCCTTTACAACAGATATGAAAACAAAATAACTTGATAGTTATAAATGAATATAATTTAATGCGCGTCAAAAACGAAAAGAACAATTAGATATACAAAATGATAGTCAAATAAACAAAAATATACAAACTTAATGGATAACAAAATATAATAACATGACAGTTACTATTACAACAACTAATAATATAATAATAATGAAAAAAGCGTACGACCTGTTTGTTGTTGATGGAGACTTGTCGGTGGTGATGATTGTTCGGACGACCGAAAAGAAAATAAAATATAGAAAAACACAAAAAAATGGCAGTATTGCCGACGAACGTGGCACTGGTCGTGCACACTGGACCGATGTACGGTAAAAAACAAAACAACAACTGCGACCGGGGCGACGACGGATCGCCTAGACGCGTGATATCGTCCCCCACACAAGGGTGTACAAAGGTCAAAAATTGAGCGTCGCGTCCGAAACGCGTTACAATACAACGTTGCCACACGGGGTGTTGTGGCAACGCCGAAATAGGCTGGAAGAAATTGGTTTTGTATCCAACATTTTCTCCCCACGTTGAAAGACAAAGCCGTCTTTCAAGAAACTATCGGGCATGAAATTGATGTAGTAATTGATAATGAACCAGGTCGTACACATTACAGAATTTTGCGAAAACATAACATATTGAAAGTACATACAAAATAATAAAAAACAATAAGAGTAACCTATCACTCATCACACGATATACATTATATTTACAGGAGGTAGGTATAAGGGTTAAGTTGAGGGTTCAACCGGGAGACGCACAAGTTTTACGACGGGGCGCTTGTAGATGCCGTCCTGGGTGCGCACGGATACAACGCGTACAACATCATCTGGTTCCGGGTAAACCTCTGTAACTCGGCCGAGTCGCCACTCAGTCGGGGGTCGAGTAGGAGCTTCGACGATGACCATGTCACCGATCGCTAGATTCGGGGACGTTTTATACCATTTCTGCCGGCTTTGCAACGTGGACAAGTACTCGTGTGACCACCGTTTCCAGTATGATTGATGGCACTGTTGAATGAGCTGCCAACGGTTCAAACGGTTAACTTGGACGTCGGTAATGTCAGGTTCGGGCACGGCGTGTATCGGCTGTCCGATCAGGAAGTGTCCCGGTGTTAACACACTCAGGTTGTGCGGGTCGGATGAAGTCGGCGTGATAGGTCGAGAGTTTAAGATGCCCTCGATGCGAATGGTTAAGGTGAGGAACTCCTCGTAAGTCAGTATTTGTAGACCGATGACATGCTTGAGGTGATTTTTGACGCTCTTGATGCCGGCTTCCCAAATGCCGCCGAAATGAGGCGCGGCAGGCGGATTGAAGTGCCAGGTTAGGTACACGATAAATGCGACGACAGACGGTCTTGAATTTTGGCTTCGCGAAATAAAGTCTTCAGCTGGCGCGCGGCGCCGACGTAATTTGTACCGCAGTCAGAATAAATGTTGGACGGAATACCACGTCGCGCAACAAAACGATCTAAGGCCGCGAGGAAAGCATCTGTACTCAAGTCCGACACAATTTCGAGATGGACCGCCTTAACCGACATACATATGAACAACGCCAGATACACTTTGATTACTTGAGCATTCCGATGACGATGCTCTTTTACGAGGAACGGACCTCCATAATCCATACCGACATGTGAGAACGGTCGATGAGGTTGGACTCGGTAAGACGGTAAATCGGCCATAATTGGCTGAGGATGAACAGCTTTGTGACGTATACATGGAACGCACGAAAAAATAACACGTCGAACCGCAGCGCGACCCGACAAAATCCAATATTTTTGATTCAACATAGACAAGATTAATTTTAATCCACCGTGCAAAAATGATAGGTGATATGGCGAATGATCAATTCGGTGAGATGTGAAGATTGCGGTAACAAAATTGGATGCTTAGCGTCATAGCTGATGTCGGAGAAGCGCAAACGGCCTCCTACCCGTATGATATTGTTGTCGTCGATGTATGGTGCTAATTGTGCCAAGGACGGCGGCGTGATTACCAATTGATTTCTTAACGTTTTAAGTAAATCTGAAAAATAATGTTGTTGCGTACGATGAACGACGACTGATAGAGACTTGTCGCGTTCGGTAAACGTAATGGGACCAGCATGGATCGGCTGTTGACGTAAACGATAAGATAGGTAACGGAAGACGTAAGACAACACTCGCAACATTTTTTCGAGCGACGAAAACCGACTGATGAACTCTAATGATGACGAGTGAACAATGGCGACCAATGTCGTGGTGACATTCGGCCGGGACTCTGGCAGTTGTTCCAGAGCGATTGAGATAAATTTCTGCTGGGGCCACTGGTCTTTGGAAAGACGTAGGAACTCGGGACCATCCCAATAAATAGACGAAGACAGCATTGCTTTTGGTAGAAGTCCGCGGGACGCGGGATCCGCGGGATTGTCGTTCGTTGATACGTAATTCTATACGCAGTTAGGCAATGGTTTATGTATTTTGGCGACTCGGTTGGTCACAAAGATCTTGAAATGCTTTGGGTCAGAAGTTAACCATGACAAAACAACCGTTGAGTCGGACCACGCTGGCAGACAAGATATAGGCACTTCCGTGGACAGCACGGAATGGACATGATGAAGTGTCTGGGCCAATAGTAGAGCGCCGCATAATTCGAAGCAGGGTATGGAAAGTGATTCGTCGGCGGCGACACTCTTCAGAGGAGCAACCTTGGTTTTACAAGTAATAAGCTTGACGGATATGTCACCGGCGGCGGTAACGAGACAAAGGTAAATGGTGGCCGCATATCCTTTTATTGACGCGTCCGCAAAGCCTAATAATTGAACGTCGTGATGACAGGTGACGTGGATGTGACGCGGTAGACTTAAATCGAACACGAGGGGTAATTCGGTGCAAAACTGGTGCCACATAGATTGCAGTTCGGGGGACATCGGATCGTCCCACCCGAGTTTATTGCACCAAAGTAATTGCATAAAACACTTTGCCCATAACAACATGGGGCCCAAAACGCCAATAGGATCGAACAGACGCGCGATGACGGACAACACCTGGCGTTTCGTGTTTGAAACTTGTTGCAGACAGGTATGATAAGCAAATTTGTCAGTATTCGTGTCCCAATGTAGGCCGAGAACCTTTACGGCATGTTCTTCCCGCGGGTCAAAAGATATAAAATGTACTCGGTCTTCAGGGGAACAGACTCGAGGACGGTGGTACTGTTGCTAGTCCACTTGCTTAAGAGGCAGTCACAGTAAAAGTGAAACGTATACAACACTCAATAGATGGCGTTGTGCGCTGTATCGTCGCCGTTGCGGCAGACCTAACCCCACCCATTATATCCTCGACTTTGTTCCTGCGCACTATTTTTAGGAGCGGTACATTATTACTACAAAGTCGGTCATGATGAACATTTGACTTATTATAATATTTCACGTGTATAATATTTTATGCACTCGGCGCGCTTACTCCTCGCTTTGCGTTCATAACCTACCTTAACTACTAATTGACTTACGTTCATTTTAACTTTTAAATGTGTACAATTATATACAACAACGTATATACAACATAGATTGATTTACATTCATAGCATAATTACCTACTTTTGATATATAGGTACATACTATGAAATATATATCTATAATATTCTAAGTTTTAATTTTTTTTTTTTTTTAACATTGGTAATTTTGTAATTATTACACATATTTTATTATTGAGGAAGATTTTTATATGACATTCTTTACATTATTGTGTTCAACATTTTGTATTAATGTATCTATGTATTTCTAATGCGATCATTCTTCTCAGCGACGGGCATGCTCATAATCGAATTAAATACCTACAATAGACAATAGGTAGTATTTATATTCTACCCAAATTAAAAATATTTATTTATTCAAAAATAAAGGAAGACATTATATTGATATGTACATAATAATAGATACGACTGTAGGTGAGATGCTGATATTGGAAATAATTCATTTAGAAAAAAAAAAAATGATATTGTATTATTGTAAATATAATAGTATTTGGGTATTTAATAAATCTTTGTAGGTAATACGAAAAGTAGAAAAATACTTTTTTTTGGCTGCTTGTTGTTTTAAAATTCTTGGTGGATCGATAATATCGGTAACTAGATGTCTTTTACCAAACTGCGGATTTATTAATTCCGGCAATAAACATTCATTATAGAATCTAAATACGAGATATAAAATAATATATGGTTAAATTTGTGAACATAAATTTAAAAATTAATTTAATTAAAAATGGTTTATACTAATTAATATTATACTTACAAATGTATTTGAGACTGTATTTTTTGATTCCAAAAGTTATCATCGATAGTAATACATACATTATAATACCGATTTTCTGTATAAATAAAAAAATTACATTTTTTTCTTTTGGTTACATGCAATTGAGTCTGAATCTGGTAATAATAATTATGATTATTTTTTAAAAAAACATTGTTTTGTTTGTCTTTAAAACAAAACGGAATCTGCGGAAATTTAAAATTGTTTAAAAATATTAGGTAAGGTAGGTATTAAAAATCTAAATGTATTACTTTTCCTGCGTCAATAGCATCGAATATATCAGAAAAATTCCTAGCTGAAAATGGACATTTAATTTTGATGATCGAATCTTCGCCGATGAGGCCATCTAAATAATATAATTTATTGGTTATTTATTTGGTTTTAATTATTTTAAATTTATTATAACTAATTAGGTATTGTTATTTAATAGTTTTTGGTTTCAACTACCTGGACTTGCGGCTAAATATAGAATTTTCTCATCTATACACAAACCCACAGGTGCAATTATCAAATTATATAAACTTTCAAATTTTTTTTTTGCTTCGATCTCCATTACACGTCCATATTCAATAGCCTTTATTTTTATGCTTATGCAACTATAGAGTAAATCGTATACAACCGTAAAATGGGGTGACTCCGGACAAATTTGAACGTTTTTTCAAAAATTAACCTCAATATATTGTTTCTAAAATTATGAAAAAAATATATAATGTTCTTTAGGTATGTTGAAATCATATAGCAGAAGAATAATTATAAAAGTCATTAAAGTTTACACTTTTTTTTAAAGTTGAAAACTGTCCGGAGTCGCCCGCAAAATGGGGTGACTTCGGATACCTTTTGAATTTCATTAAAAACCGATGTTAAAATTACAATGGTTGACTTCGGACAGTGAAGATATTTTTAAAAAAAAAATGTAACGAATCAAACAAAAAAAAACCATACTTAACTTTATCATAAATACAACGTAGTTATTTTATTCAATATTTTAAATAACTTAACAAAATAATTGTTTACTCTTATAAAAATGTTAACTTAAAATTAAAAATACTTTTTCTTTTTAATCGTGAACTAATTATTAACAAAAAAAACTTTTATAAAATATTATATTAGGTGTGTAAATTATAAATTAATTTTATTTCTTCAATGAAAATTAGTTGTATCAATCTTGTCAAAAATAAAACGTCCTCGTTTCATTATTTTACTGGGCACTAATTTTCGTACTACTTGCATTTTTGTGATATTACTCTTATCTTTGACTTGTGGAAAAACGAAATATGACTCTTCATGTGCACTTGTTTTTTTCTCAAAAAATTCACGTATATTAAAGGAGATTTATCAATTTCCACTTGTCCAATATACATAATATTTCGTTTATTTGTTTCATATTTAACAATAATAAAGTCACCCTTTTTTAGTACAATATTTGGATCAATGCAATCTTCTTCGTTAATTATTTCCGATAAATCGTTGCCTTGTGTCCCGCTGGTAGAAGGTGCATAAATATCAATTGAATTTTCTTCCTGAATGTTGTCGGGATCATCTAAGTCATCAATATCGTGTAATTCGTCTTTTTTTTTAATATCATCTATTCTTACACTTTTTCCTGCAGATATATTAATTTTTTTTCCTCTACATTTTTTTATTGTATCTTTTTTATTTTTTACATCAGACAAAATATCAACAAATGCTTCAGTCCACGACCTTGATATATCATCGTCGTTTTCTTCAGATTGACTTGGAACTTTATTTAAAACTTTTTGTTTATTGAACGGGTAGATACCTGTGGCACTAAATCCTGACTTAATATTATTTTGCATAGTTTCATTTAATTTTTCTAAAGTTTGTCGAAGTAGTTTGGGAAATTCGGATTTAGGTATTGGTCCAGAGTTTTTGACTTTCCAGGTATCTAAAGCACTTCGCCAACATCTTTTAATCGGTCTAAAAACGGCGACGTCGAGCGGTTGACACAGGTGTGTCGCATTTGGGGGAAGTAATACAAAACGAATGTTATTTTTTTCACAAAGTTGAATTACTTCTAATGATAAATGACTAGCTAAATTATCACCTATAATAACTTTAGGTCCGACCAAATTACGACAAGCAGGTAAAAAACATGTTATAAACCAATCCTCAAATATGGGCATATCAAACCACCCACTATCGTTCCGATTATAGCCTGCTCCTTCTACTCCCCCTTCAATCCAAGTTGGATAAATATGTTTAGCTTTATAAACTGTGTAGGGTGGTAGCATTTTTCCGTCAGCTGACACACAAAACATAACTGATACACTTGTTTTTGACGTATCTTTTATAACTTCTGGGTGTTTGGTACCACGTCTTACCACAACAAGTTTTTTACCTGGGTCATCGACAAAATTTGTTTCGTCATAATTAAAAATATTACTTGGAGGAACATCTTTTACAACTTCATCAAGGTTATCAAAATATTCATTTAATACAGATGTTGATACAGCTGCTCTCACACGCTTGATATTTTCACCAAATCGTAGTGTGAGAGTATTATTTCTTTTCAAAAATAATTCAACCCAATCTTTTCCAGGCAAATTATTATTAAATTTATTACGCATATTTGAACTTTTACCCAATCTGTCTAAATACGATTTAACAACTAACTGAATGTCACGGCACTTCATAGGAAACCCCCACTCAGAACATTTCAGTAATCCTTCTACAAGTCGACATTCTTCGTTAGTGTTTAAAATAGGTTGTCCACCAGGTTTTTTTATAATTGTTTTTGCATTTAAATGGTCGCATAATGTACATAAATAAGATTTTAACCAATTAAAAAATGTAACATGAATACCAAAATAAGATAATTTATATAATAAAATGTTGTGGTTAACTTTATCAAACGCTTTCTGAAAGTCTGTATAAATAGTGTCCAATTGAACACATTGATTTAAGGCCGAAATGATTTTCTCCTGAAAAAGTGAAATATTAGTAGAAATCGACATTTTAGGTCTGAAACCATGTTAATTATTAAAAATGAGGGGGGTCATAATTAAAGACAACTTTTTTGTAATTAAAGCTTCAAATATTTTCGGAATAATAGATATTTT